AGCCAAGCACATCTGCCGCCAGCAGTGCTTTCCCAGATGTCTTCAGGGCGGTGCTCCCCCCTTCTTCGCACTCCAAGCCTGTGCTCTCAGGCTGCCTGGTCCAGCCTTGTCTGGCCCACTGCCTTCCTCCTCCTGCTCCGCACTCCTGCTTCCCCCCACCCCCAATGCCTCCCCATGCCTACTGCCCTCCCCGTTACCCTATCTGCCTCTGGTTCACCATCACGGATGCCCCTCCCCCCATCACTTGGGCTCAATTGCAGCCAGAAGATCTGCTACCTGCCACTCTGTTTTGTGAGGTCACAAGGGCTTCCTGTCCAGCTGCATTTGCTTCAGGCTCTGAAGACATCACCTGTCCTCTGCTTGCTATTGGCTCACTACCTGCTGTGCTCACAGGAACTCCCTGTGCAGGGGGTCTAACCTGCTCTCTCCAGGATTCCCCTCCTGGTCCTCTCCTCCCTCTGCCCCACATTCCTCAGGAAGCTATCCTTGTACTGAGGTGAATCAGGTTCTCCTTTGTGGTCCCTCTGCTTTTACCCCCCTGGATTGTGGCCTTTACCTGCCACTGAACTGTGTCTGCCTAATCTCTAGCAAGTGCCCAGCAATATTTGCTGAATGGTTACTTGCCCATGAAAGAAATCTGTGATTTCTGTGATTGGCCAATTAGAGAGGGGTTCTGGCTATGCAGTCCAAGCTGGTTTCAAATGTTTTATCCTGCTGCTCCGTCCCCCCAACTGCTGTGGTTACAGATGTATGACACATGCCCAGCTAAAACAGATGGTTCTAAACACATCGTCAACATATATGTATTTTAACCCTTTGTGGACTCTGAATCCATGGTTTCAGTCGGCCATGGATGAGAAAGTTCTGAGTAAATGTACATCTCTGCTGAGCACATACAGATTCCTATCGTTGCCTAAGCCATAGGACATAACAAGCATTTCTGTAGCACTAGGCATTATAAGTAGCCTGAGATGGTTTAAAAGGTAGTGGTGTGTGTGTGTACATGTGTATGCATATGTGTGTGCATGTGTGCATATGTGTATACGTGTGTGCATGTGTGTGCGCATGTGTGTGTGTGTGTGTGTAGGTTAGATGCAAATGCTATGACCTATTTATGGGCCTTGGAAGCCCATGTGCTTTGGGACTAATCCTCCTTGGGTACCTGGGGACAAGTATTTCTGGGGGATTTACTGGTGTCAAGTCCTGTGTGAGGATCCTGGACAGGAGCAACATTTTTGCTCTCAGAGACAGGATGGATCACCAGTAGCACCTTTGGGTCTCTGGCCACACCCTAACTCAGGGCAGAGTGGGAGCCACTCTGTGTTGGTAGAGTTAATGCCTGGAGCTTCTCTGTTGAGTGACACTCAACCCTCCGCAGGTTACTTTCTGCCAATGGGTTTGTACTCTCTAGTTTTAAAACAGCTTCATTTGGGACTTCACTATTCAAGTTAACGGGAAGAGAGCCAGCCTCAGAGAGAGGCATGCTCGTGTTCACTGGTTAACTAGCGCAGGTCCTGTGGCATCTGAGGATCCTTTTTCTTTCATCTCGTCTGTATCTATGATGCAGCATGGAGACCCACTCTGTCAGAGGGACCTTTGAAGCATGATTGACAGATATTGGAGGCCAGAAAAGCAAAACAGCCAGCTGCTGGCTCTTGGCAACAACTTGTAGCATGATTAATAAAAACTGAGAGACAGATATTGAGCAAAGCAGCCTCTAGAGAACTCTTACCTCTTAGAGAGCTGAGCCTCAGAAATGCGACTTGTTCAAGGTGCCACAGGCAAAGAAACAGCTTGGACTTCAGTGATTCTGTTTTATTTTCCATTACTGGGGACGGAGCCTGCACCTTGCGTACGGTAGGCAGATCCTCTACCACAGAGCTGATCTGCCTGAGTACTGTTAGTGTGGTGTTGTGGGAAGCCAGCGCTGCTGCTGTCTACCACCCCCTGAAGGCTGTCCCAGGATGGCATGGTCAGGAGCATCCAGTACTCTGAGAGCTGATGGTGGGGGACTTAAATAGCAAGACTTTACCTGCAGATGGACAGAGTGACACTTTGGTTAAGCATGCACACTTTTTACTGAAGTGGATGTAGGGGTGTGTCCTAATTTCCATAACACCTTTCTGTGTAATCCAGAGCAATTTTTCCTTCTTAAAGTTCAGCGCATCTCTGTACAATGGGGTGATAAGACCTGTCCGAGGTTGTGAAGGTCTAAAGGATTAGCATAGCATCTTGCATACATAAGCGCTTATGTCACCAAAATACAGTGACATAGGGGACTTAGAGGCTTTTTTTTTTGCACCACCTGTGACCCCCTTAGATGAATGTAGGAGCCGAAGAGGAGAACTTCTGTTTTATATTCAATAGAGTCTAAGTCTGAGGTCTCTAGAGACCCCACACCATCTTGGCAAGATGAGACAAGGTCACTGATGTTAAACCAGAAGGTTTCTAGATTTGAGGGAACACTTTGGGGCCATCTAGTACAGGAGAGGAGCCAGGAGCCAGAAGGAGAAGCAGTTGATGGAGACGGCCCGGAGTGTAGTATCTGCTGTTGGTGTTCAGTGGGGACACTGTCATCCTTTAGTGCATAGAGATTGCCCTCTCCTACTCTTAGGTCTTACCTTTAGGCTGGCCAAGTGGATAGGAGGCTGTGATGTCACAGAACTGAGAACCAGGGAATGGGGGTAACAGATTCTGGACAGGACCACAGGTCTGGGAGGAGGGGGCTGCTGCTGACCTATGCAGGGGTTTGTCCCACTGCCCACTATGTGTTAGGTTGTTAGAAGAGATGTCTCTTGTCCTTGGATTACTGGGCCAGCTAGGATGTATTCTTCTGAGACAGCTGGACCTGTCTACACAGTCTACCTGCGTAGACGCAGGTGTAGGTCCCGGCTACTGTCCCACCTCCTCAGTTTCCTGTGTGAGGCCACTTTCATCTTCATGGCTTCCGCCATTGTCCTAGGTCAGACATCTTTCTTTCCATAACTCAAAGACATATCGTCCCAGCTGAGCCAGTCAGAGCACAGGGCACTCAAGAAGATACGGCAGTGAAGGGGATGGAGTTCAGGTTCAGCATTGCCGTGTTCCACGCACTCAGTATTACGTAGGCACGCCAGAGACAAGGAGAGTGGGGCGCAGCATCAGCGGTGAGCATTTCAGGGGTCAGGCACTGCCCTGTTTCGCATTCTAGCTAAGGTCTTCCCTGGAGGGAAAGTCTGCGTTGCCTGCCGCCATCACTTCAATTCTGTCCTGGCCTCTGTGCTGTCAGGAACAAGCTCGGGACTGGGTGGAAGACTGTCTACACTGAGAGGACTAGGCCTGTCGCACACCTGGGTTTAACTTCATCTCATGTTAGCACCCTAACACTTTAGCACCCTGTCTGGTTATTTTACAGTGTAAAATGCCCCCAGGTTCCAGGAAATGGAGGAAAGGCGGCCTTGGTTGGAGGCCGTTTTGCCCACCATACACTTTAAGTGCTTGTATCAGGAAATGAAAAGAATGAAATAAATTCCTAGGTCTAGAGTCAAGAAAAAGCACATGACTATTGAGATGGCTCAGTAGCTAAAAATGCTGCCAAGCCTGATGACCTGAGTTCAGTCCCTGGAACTCACGTCATGAAAAGATAGAACCAGTTCTTGCAAGCTGTGCTCTGATCGCCACTTGCACAACCTGTCCTGTGCCCTCTCAATAAACAAAGAATGGGATGTAATGAAAATCAAGATAGATACAACCAAGTAATAAAGTTTGCCCATGACTGAACCCAGAAATCACACCAGAGAACCAAAGTAACAAAACCAAGTTAATAAATCTTTTGGAAAAAAAATTACAAACCGATAAAGTGGAAAAATTTGTTTAGTAAGAACTGAATCTAACAAGTGACTTTGTTTTTATCTCTGTAGTATTAGGATCAAGTTCAGGCCTTCTGCATGCTGGGCAAGTGGCCTGTCAGTGAGCTCCACACTAAATCCCTTCAGCAAGTAATCTATATTTTCACTCATGTGGTGCTCTGTGTGCCCTGCACCTCCTGATACCACCCCACTAGGGAGGACACAATACTTCTCTTGGGCCATTCCCTCCCCAAATGGGAACCTTGGCTCTGATCTAGTGAAAATATCAGAAAAATCTAAACGGAGCACTTGAAATATGTGAAATTCTTGATGACTGCATGGAATCCATGGTCCTGGGTGAGAGAGCTCTGAGGCATTTTGGCATTTGAATAGGGTGCTCTTAGTGTGTGAGCAGCGTTTGTTCTGGGCCCTGCTGGAGTTAAAGGAGGATACCCTTTCTATAAGAATTGCTCATGAAGGTTTAGGATTGGGGCAGGATTCTCACTCTCAGATCATTCAGGAAAAAAAAATAAGATAATTATAAAATGAACGTGGAGATGTGTAAGACACTGATGAATCTGAAAGAGTTTTCTTTTTCTTTTTTATCTACTTTTTCTATTAAGACAACTTTTCTATATATTTGAAATATTTTCTTTTCTTTTCTTTTTTTTTGGTTTTTCGAGACAGGGTTTCTCTGTGGTTTTGGAGCCTGTCCTGGAACTAGCTCTTGTAGACCAGGCTGGTCTCGAACTCACAGAGATCCGCCTGCCTCTGCCTCCCAAGGGCTGGGATTAAAGGCGTGAGCCACCACCGCCCAGCTTATTTGAAATATTTTCAAAAGCTATTCACAAAGTCAAGTTTTTTTATAGGCTATTTAGAAGTGACAATATAAGAAGAGATAAGATATTTATAAGGTGTGGGGGAGGGACAAAGAGGAGGGACACGTCCTCTAATGCAATCAAGGACTTTAATGCAGGCAGCCCCTCCCTTCCCTGGCTGTGTCAGGAGCTGCAGGGACTCTTGTTGGCACAGGGATGGCTCAGACCTCTTCCCTCCTGTGGTGGAGTTTCTGAATCAGTCTTCATGAATCCTGTCCACTGCCTTCTTCATCCTCATGCAGACCCTCCAGCAGCTGCACAGCTCAGAGCCCGTGTGATACTGCCACTAGAATCCTCAGGGTCTCCCGATGAGGCATGGCCGGAAGGCCCAGTGTTCCTGGCAGTAGCGGTTTAGATTTTTTTTAGGGTATCCTGTTTGTATGTTGTATGCAGTCAGCTCTGAAAGAAGGAAAGCATGCTGGTGGGTGAAGACCCAGATGGGTTGCTGGGACTGTATCCCTCTGGGACGGACTGCTGGGACTGTATCCCTCTGGGATGGGTTGGCTGTATCCCTCTGGGACAGACTGCTGGGACTGTATCCCTCTGGGGCAGACTGCTGGGACTGTATCCCTCTGGGACGGACTGCTGTGACTGTATCTCTCTGGGACAGGTTCCCCGATTCCATGAGCTCTCTGGGAGTCCAGGCACACCCCAGCTTAGTTAGTCGGGCATGGTATTGTTTTGCATGGTGGAGTCACAACAGAAAGTCTTGCAAAGCACAAGTTGTAGGAAACAGGGATCTTGGACATGGATGGTGTTTCCTGGTTCAAAGTCCCTATCCCAATGTGGATCTCAGCCTACCTGGGCATGGAATATCAGAAATGGAGGGACTGATGAGCCAGTGAGACCCTCAGCTCCTCACTCTTGATTCAAATAGAACAGGTAGGCTATTGTAGGAAAATTTACCCTTCAATGGGCTCCTGTTTGCAACAAGGGCTTGAGTGACAGGTGGATTCCACAGTGGGGAGATGTAAGTGATCCTTATCTCTCTGTGGTCCCTGGGGGATAGTGAGCTTTGGGAGGCCACCTGGGCACAGGATAAATTTCCTTCAACATGACTGCCTTTCTTCTTCATGGTTTGTGCTACTGAACTAGGTGGGGCATCAGTTCTTCTTTGACCCAAAGACATATCAACCACCTGAGCTGTGCTCAGCTCATTAGCATGTTCAGATATTGCTCATTTGACCTGTACCTGGCTGGGTTTGGGGGAATATCAGAAAACAAACCCAGGGCGGACCTACCAGTCTGGAGCTCAGTGTGTAAAGATTAAACAGTGTTACACAAAATGCACATTCCAGACCACACTGTGGTGCCCAGAATAGAGAGTGTGTGTGGAGCGTCCTTTCCTCCCAGAGCCGCTCCTTCAAATACAGCGTCTAGCATGGAAAATAATGAGCTAGGCCAGGTGCTGTAGGATGCACAGCGCCCTCTGCAGTGTGGACAGCTAACTCACATACCCATAGGGTCTGGCCATCAGGACGGAGCCCCCCTTCCCAGAGGCCAGTGTCTGGGACTCACCTTCAAACTCGCTGCTGCTGGAAGAGAATCTCTTCTCTTGACCAGTGGGGAACTGGGTATTAGTGTACTTGTGATTTGGTTTGTTTAACTCATTCTTCTGAGTCTGCGAACCTGACAATGAGAATTCCATGGGTGTCACGTGGGGAAGCTTGGCCAATCACAGAAGTGAGGGCACTAAGCCGGTAGAAGCAGCACACAGGCGAATGAGGGATACTATAGGATGGGCAGAGTTTGAAACTTCCTCCTTTAAGCAGGTGCTGAATTTAGAAATACATATTTTAAAGGATCAATGTTTTTCTATATTTTTATGTTTTTCTATTTTTAAATGCAATGCATATCCATTACAAAAGAAAAAACGATCCAACTCCTCTCCTCCCAGATATTACTTTTACCTAAGCATATTTTAACACAGTTCATCAGATTGCGTGTTCCATGTATGTGATTCATTTTCTTCATATAAACTTTTTCCCCATGTCACTACATTAAAAAGTAGTAAATGGATGGAATTTTCTTTTATGGATAATTCAAGATTTATTTATCCAATGGACTATTTTGTGTTTAGACTTTTTTTTTCCAAATTTTACTACTGCAGAGACAGGCATGGATTGTATTTAAGCCTTTATGTACGTCTAGAATAATGACAAAAACTTCAGAGACAGGCGAAGGTCTCTGGAGCAGGGGTAACAGCTTAGACACTGGATGTGTAACTCAACAAATGGCCTCTGCTCATACCTGCCACAAAATAACATGCTTTGCTTGGGATAGTAGGGTCCACCTAGAGCTGCAGTGTAGACGGGAAATGCAGGTGGGGGATCCACTAGAGCTGCAGTGCAGACAGAAAAATGCAGGTGGGGATCCACCTAGAGCTTCAGTGTAGACAGGGAAATGCAGGTGGGGGATCCACCTAGAGCTTCAGTGTAGATAGGGAAATGCAGGTGGGGGATCCACTAGAGCTGCAGTGTAGATAGGGAAATGCAGGTGGGGGATCCACTAGAGCTGCAGTGTAGATAGGGAAATGCAGGTGGGGATCCATCTAGAGCTGCAGTGCAGACAGGGAAATGCAGGTGGGGGATCCACTAGAGCTTCAGTGTAGATAGGGAAATGCAGGTGGGGATCCACCTAGGGCTGAACACAGAGGTGTGGGTGTACTGGCGAATGGTAGATCGCACTTCGCAGGCATCATCAGGGGAAAGAGAATCTGTATTTTTAATATTTTGCTCTTCAGCCAGGCAATGGTGGTGTGTGCTTTTAATCCCAGCACCCGGGAGATAGAGGCAGAAGCAGGCAGAACTCTGTGAGTTCGAGGCCAGCCTGGTCTACAGGTTTCGGTTCCAGGATTTTTTCCTGCTCTTTGTCCAGTTTCATCTGTCAGTGGGATGGTGGCAGATTCCACCAGCACTCTGTCCTGCTGTGTCCCCATGAGTCTTAGCTCTGCCTGATCTTGATAATAATGCTCTTTCTCTCTCTGAAATTGCTGATTTTGACTCCTGTCTTTTCTGTTCTGGGCCATCAAGAAGGCTGTGATACAAACTGGAGGCTGGGATGCCTTCAGTGTCCCAAGGGGTCTCAGAATGCTGAGGGGGAAGACAAGAAGGTGTGGTGATGTGGCCTGAACTTTGGCCATTGGAGCTCCAAGGCTTCTTAACAGAGGCCTTGCCGGAGTCTTTCTGAACTTATCCGTCTTTGTTGCTTCTCCTCCTGTTTTGTGCTAGGCACCTATGGACCTTGTTTTATTCCACACACCCATGATTCCCCAAGTGTATTATTGATATTCCTATTTTACACAACAGGCTAGCTGACTCTAACAGTGACTTGCTCAACCTCTGTGGCAGAACTGAAACTCAAAGGGGTGTGTTAGCTCTGAAGGCAGGGGGCCTTAATTATTGCCTTAGAGTCTTTAGCCTTGTTCCTTAAATTGCAAAGTACATCCAGATTTACCTGGAGACCATACTAAAACACAGGTCTAACTCAGTAGGTTTTAACGGGGTCTGGAGATGCACTTTTTAAATTTTGAGAGTCTCATATCTCTTGAGCTGACCTCCAGCTCACTAAGTAGTAGAGGGTGACCTCGAAACTCTCATCTCCCCAAGTTTTGGGGGGACCAGATGTGTGCCACCACACTCTTTTTGTTTTATGTGTGGGGCTAGGATTGGACCTAAGCCTTAAGGCATGCTAAGTTAACTGAGTTAACATCCTCAGCCCTAAAAATGTGTTCCAAGAAGCTCTCCGGTGATATCCGTGCTGCAAGACCTCAGTTCACACTTTAGCAAGCTTGAGCTCACTGACTATTTGTGCATAGCCATGCATTCTCCATCTCAGTTTAGCTTGGAGTTTTTTCAATCAAAAGATGAAGGATATATCTACAAAACCACTCCCTAACCTAAGGCTCAGGGAACATTGTGGAAGAGAGGGAGAAAAGACTGTAGAGTCAGAGGACCAGGGAGTTGACTATGTGATCATGTCTCCTAATAAGTCAGCCAGAAGATACACCCATAAAATCTCTCCAATACGTCTGCCCAAACATGAGCTGAACAAGGAAGAAAATGATATGTGCGAGTGGGTGGAGAGAGTCCACAGGCTCGTCCTACACAAAGCAGGCAACTAAGGAGTACTGAGAGATGGAGAAAGTCTTCCTCAGGAAAGAGCACACACAATTGGTATTCAATACCAAATAGTCAGCCCTTAAAGCATACGGGTCACATCATACAGACTGAGCAGGTTGTACTTACGTATTTAGGAATAGTATGTATATACTTATATGCACGTAACAGAGAGAGCCATGAGGGTTTGGGGTGACAAAGGGGAAAGTGAAAATGATGTAATTATAATCTCAAAAGATAAAAGTATAGTAATGACGAAGGAAATTTGGGGTCATTTCAGGAGGAAGACGGTAGACAAGCCGAGGCTTAGGGAAGTCAGGCAGGGTGTTCTTGTTGGATACCTACTGTAGGATGGTGGCCGATTCTCTTGGGTTTGACTGGGAGGCTTGGAGCTCTCGATGACGGCTTCCTCACAGTCCCGGCAGCATAAACAGAGTATCTTCGAGGCCAGGTTTTGGTAGGTTGCTGTAGGAGGTAAGCGAATGGGGACAATGTATTCTTGGATCTGAATTCATGGATTTGTTAGAAATTGTCTGTGACTCCCTGTGGTCAGGAAGTTCATGTTGGTTCTTTCTAAGCTCCTGCTGCTGCTAGTGTGTGTGTGTGTGTGTGTGTGTTCATGTGTGTATGTGGAGGCCAGAGGGCAACATCAGGTATCTGTGTCAACCATTCCCCACCTCCGCTTTTTGAGATAGGGTCTCTCTGGACCTGGAACTTGCCACTTGGACAGAATGGCTAGCTACTCCAGGAATCTCTCTGTCTTTGCATCCCCAGCATTGGGGCTAGAGACACACCTTGCCATGCTCCACTTTTTATGAAGGTTCTGGGGTCCAGATTCGGGTCCTTAAGCTTCCATGGCAAGTGCTTTCCTGCCTGAGCCATCCCCCCAACCCAGAAGCCCTCTCTTAAGGACATTTTTTCTTGTTTTATACAGAGTTTCCTTACCCATAGAGAGGAATTGAAGACTTTACTCTGCCAGCTTTGTTTGCAGTGGAATCACTGGTGTTGAATTTGTGCCCAGTTCACCAAGCAGGGCTGTTTCCTAGATGAACAAGACCATAGCTGAAAAGTGCTACTCCTTCATCTGTGTCTGCGCTCCAGCCAGGACCTGCTGCAGCAGAATCCTGCAGGACTCCTGCAGGAGCAGACCACTGGGGAGCAGAATCCTGCAGGAGCAGACCACTGGGGAGCAGAATCCTGCAGGAGCAGGCCACTGGGGAGCAGAATTCTGCAGGAGCAGACCACTGGGGAGCAGAATCCTGCAGGAGCAAACCACTGGTCAGCAGAATCCTGCAGGAGCAGGCCACTGGGGAGCAGGTTTCAGATAGCTCTGTGTCATCTCCATTTCTAGGGACATGTCTTGGATTTTTCTTTAGCCTTCTAGAGCCTCACTCTTACTGCATGGAAAACAGGAATAGTGGTTCTCATTTTACAGAAGCAAAGTGTTAACTATATGCAAGCTGACTCCGTGGTGGTAGGTATACAGGAAGTGCTGAGCCCATGGCCATTCCATTCCTCTGATTTCCTCTTCATAACTCATTACCTCTAAGTTATTCCAACTCCCTGGCCCCACAAGAACATGGTAAGGAAGTGTATAGTCATGTAGGCTTACTTCTTGGTGTGAACATTTGCCATATGGCTTTGGGTAAGTCCCTCAGTGGTAAGGGGAAGTTAATCTGGGTGATTCCTCCAAAAGCCTTTCATGTGTCAATGGTACAAGAGTATAAAGTTTTGTTTTAGTTCCAACTCCTTTTATATGTCAACTTTTTAAACCTTTAGATATGTTCCATTCATGTTCTGTGTCAAAAATTCCTTTTAAGGAATTGTTACCATAGTATTGATTAGGTGTCTGTCATCACAACCAATTTACTTGTTTCTTTTATTAACTGCTGAATTGGTCCTAGCTGCTAACATCTCCTGCATGGGTTATTTCAATAGTCTCCTAACTGGTTTCCCTGTTTCTTTAACCAATAATGATTAATGCAAAGGCTAGGATTCCCATGTTAATATGTATTATGTCTCACTTTTGCTCAGTATCTCTGGTGGTAGAAAGAAATGGATATAGTAGATGAAGAAATATAGTGTTGAAGAAAGAAAAGTTAATCCTGGAATAGTAGAGATTCTAGTTATAAAAAACAGCAATTGGAGCCCAAGAGATGAATCAATGGGTAAAAGCACTTGCTTCCAAGACTGACAGTCTGAGTTCAGTCCCCAGAAGACCAATGCCCATAAGCTATCCTCTGATCTGTATGTACCTGTGTACACACACACACACACACACACACACACACACACACCCAGCATCTGAAAGAAAAATGTAGAGAATGATCGACAACAAACTTAACAGTAGATGATATAGTGAATCTGAGGGAACAGAAAAGACAATAGAATTTACACACATAGAAGTAGAGAATGAAAAAATGTTTAAAAGATTGAGAAGAGGCATTGGTCTGGGACATCAAAGGGAACAGGCAGGAACCTGGAACCTCTGCAGGTCCAACCTGAGTCTGGGACCTCTGAGGCAGTAGACCAGAGTCAGAAACCTTTCCAGGTCCAACTCCAACCCACATTTGCCCTGAGGCAAGGAACTCCACCTTGGGCAACAAATTCCACAGGGGTGGCTCTGAATGAGCTGCCTAGGACAGAGAAGGCCTGAGGAAACAAGGTCCACTGGGAGCACCAGCCAGGAGCAAATTCAGTCCCGGAAGCCAACCCAGTCCTGGGATACTGGTGGATCAGTATTGAGCCAGAGACCTGACTCAGAGTCAGTGATCTCCACCAGAACCAGTGTGGGACAGAAACAGCTACCTAGGATAGAGAGCAAACAAGCTCCACTGGGAGCAGCAGCCAGGAGCAAATCCAGTCCCAAAACACTGGTGGATCAGGATTGAGCCAGCAACCAGATCCAGAGTCAGCCATCTCCACTAGAACAGGTTCAACTCCAAGCCATGGACTTCTGCAGGACAGGATCCAGACCAGGATTTTCAGAAACAGGGCAAAGCCGGCAATCTAGGCTAAAGTAGGCCTGAGACAGCAAACTGAAAGTGAGCAGAGCAAGGCACAGGAGCACTGAACTATCTCCAGGAACACTGAGTAACCAATGGGGAAACTAGAACTGTGACACTGACTGTACCACGAGGATCAACCATCTGAGCTTTGGATTCACTGGTACCTAGAAGATTATTCAACAGAATTTCAGACAGCTCCAACCATACCTATGAGAGGAAAAGATGAATAGAAAAGTTAAGATCACACACTAGAGCAACACAAAGAGCAACAAAACACTAGTAAAACCTAAAGACCCTACGACAGCAAGACCTGAACAACCAAAAATGGATGACCCGGAAGAAAATGAACTAAAAAATAACTTCAAGTGAATGTTTGAAATTCTTAAAGATGAAATGAGAAAGTCCCTTAAAGAAACTGAGGAAAAAATTGGAAGATATCAGCAAATCACTTAAAGAAAATTAAGAAAAAGAAATAAAACATATAAAGGAAACTATTCAGGACTTGAAAACTAAAATAGAAACAAAAAAGAAAACACAAGCCAAAGGAATTATAGAAACAGAAATCATTGTTCTTGAGAGCTCAGTAGTCCTCATTGTCCGCTATGTTCAGTGAGTCTGGTTTTATCCCAGGCTTTTTCAGACCCAGCCCAGCTGGCCTTGGTGAGTTCCCGATAGGACATCCCCATTGTCTCAGTGTGTGGGTGCACCCCTCGCGGTCCTGAGTTCCTTTCTCGTGCTCTCTCTCCTTCTGCTCCTGATTTGGACCTTGAGATTTCAGTCCGGTGCTCCAATGTGGGTCTTTGTCTCTGTCTTTGTCTCCTTTCATCACCTGATGAAGGTTAATATTCAGGAGGATGCCTATATGTTTTTCTTTGGATAAAACTGGACTCGCTGAACATAGTGGACAATGAGGACTACTGAGCTCTCAAGAACAATGGCAATGGGTTTTTGATCCTACTGCATGTACTGGCTTTGTGGGAGCCTAGGCAGTTTGGATGCTCACCTTACTAGCCCTGGATGGAGGTGGGTGGTCCTTGGACTTCCCACAGGGTAGGGATCCTTGATTGCTCTTTGGGCTGATGAGGGAGGGGGTCTTGACTGGGGGAGGGGAAGGGAAATGGGAGGCGGTGGCAGGGAAGAGACAGAAATCTTAAATAAATAAGAAAGAAAGAAGACAAAGACATAAATGAAAAATAAAAGAAACAGAAATCATGAGAAAAAGATCAGGAACCACAAATGCAAGCATGAACAGCAGAATACAAGAGATGGAAGAGAGAATCTCAAGCACTGAAGATACAATAGAGGAAATAGACTCTCCAGTTAAAGAAAACATCAAATCTAACAAAAGCTTAACCCAAAATATCCAGGAAATATGGGACATCATTAAAAGGCCAAATCTTAGAATAATAGATATAGAGGAAGGAGAAGAAGTTCAACTCAAAGGCATAGAAAATTTATTTAACAAAATCATAGAATAAAACTTTCCCTACCTAAAGATAGATATGCCTATGAAGATACAAGAAGGTTACAGAACACCAAATAGATTGGATCAAAAAAAAAAGTCCTCTTGCCACATAATAGTCAAAACACTAAATATACAGAGTAAAGAAAGAATGGCTATTTCTAGGATTCACCTTTTTTTTCTTGTATTCTGTAGTTTTTTCATAAAAATATGGCTTGACAATAAAAAATGATGCAGTCTTTACAGACTGAATCCAGGCTTCTTAAAAAAGAAGTTAAAAATCTAAGGAAGGACACGACCATCTTAACTAACAATTTTCAGTCAGCTGAGGTACTTTTACACACAACACAGACTGATGCCAAACTCTTCAAGAAAGAGATTACAGTTCTCAAGGAGGATACTGGGTCTTTGTTTAATACAGCTCAGTCAACTGAGCTATTTTTGGGAAAGGTACAGTCTAATAGTAATTCATTTAAGAAGAGATAAAGCAAGCTGGAGAAGGAAACAGCTGATTTGACACATAAAATCCAGTCCATGACAGTGGGTGCTGAAATATTATTTGAGAGGATTCACACTGTTGATTGTATTAATCAGACTCTATCAAAGGAGTATGACAGATTGACTGGTAGAATGTCTCTCCAAGAAGGTAATATACATGCCAAAAAGATTATGTCCAAGGATGAGATATTATCTCTAATGGACAGACTTCATACCTTAGAATCCTCAATGAAGGCATTAGAGCAGAATACTAGACAGGAGATCCAGACTTTACAGAAGGCAATGGTAAACAGATTTGAAAAGATTGAGAAAATTACCGACTTTGATGACCAGGAGCAAAAGGTAAGAAGACAAAATTTAACTTCATCAGTGCGTAAAACTTTCTGGGATAGCTTCCCCAGAGTTTTACCAGCTTTTCCAGTAATAACATAAAAAAAAGTAGCTGGCTCCAAATACCCTAAGGTTTTCAAGGAATATACATGGGAGCCCGTATATATGAGTGATTTAAAAGAAATTAAACAAGCAATTGTGAGTTATGGACTACATTCGTCCTTTGTTAGAGAGATGGTTAAAACCTGGGCTTTCAGTGACAAAGCCACTCATGATTGGGCTCAGTTAATCTCAGCTGTCCTAGAAAATGGGCCACAATTAGACTGGAGATGCCTTTTTAAAGAGGAAGCAAGAATTGTAGAACAACAGGAAAGAATAAAAGGAACTGAGATTTCCCTAGATCAAATTCTAGGTGACAGACTTTACTCTGATCCTCAGGACCAAGCTCTTTATGATGACCACATCCTGTCTGTATGTGCCACAGCAGCTTTAAAGGCTTGGGACAGGGTTCATAAACCAGGACAGAGAGTGGAATCATATCCTAGGGTTAAACAGGGCCAGAGAGAACCCTTTAGTGACTTTTTGCAAAGACTAACTAGGGCCGTACAAATAGGGATAACTGATCCAGAAGCTCGACGTATAATAATTAAATATTTATCGTATGAGAATGCCAACATAGAGTGCAAAACGATCCTGGGGCCTTTAAAGATCAGATCAACACCCTTGGATAAATGGGTCTTGTATGCAATAAATGTCAAGACATTTGACTCTGGTACTGAAGCATGGGTAGGAAAAGCAATTTCCAATGCTAAGAGAAGACATCAAAATATCAAATGTTTTAATTGTGGTAATATGGGACATATAAAAAGGGCTTGTAGACAACGGATTTCCAAAGATAATGCCTCTTCTGTGAATAACAGAAGCAGGAGG